CTGCTGGATCTCTTGCATAAAGATTGATGATGGTAAACTGTTGGATATCATTGTTGTCATGCAAGTAATCTTTATTTGGCATATCAGGTTGTCATCAGACTCATGTTTTTTTATTCTAATATTATAATATGTGATCGACGATTTTTCAAAATCACCAAAGCATATACACCATTTTGGTTGTTTAATTTATGTTGTCCTAAATGTTGCTGTAGTGTTAGCATGGGCAATGTACTAGTTTATATAGTTGTCTAGCTTATTGGCCTCGGCTTCTCTTGACTTGTGTTCATGCTATCTTCAGATTATTGCAACTTCTTTCGCTTTGTGTTGATTCTAAAAAAACAAAGGCTAAATGTCAATGCCACATTGTTATTCTCGAGGATATTGCACACACCCTGGCATTTAAAATGGAGAGACGGGAGGGGAAGAACTGGCGTGGGGGTCGTGAGGGTGTTTTGCGTTGCCTCTTTTAAATGCCAGGGTGTGGGCTATCTGTAAATGCCCATGTGGTGCCACTATATTTATGTTGCCTCTGTTTTGTCCACTCTTATAAGATAGGATTCCTCTGTTCACTATATTTGTATGTGCTGATGTGTTTTTTGTATTTTCTTATCAGGCTAAAGTAGTAACTGTAATGAGGTAGAGGCAAAACCTGTTGTCATACTCAAGTCCTTATTTTTGCTATGGAAATCATGTTAGAATAGGTATGTCATGATGGTATTGCTCCCATCTGTTATATAATTTTGCCTTGCCAATTTTTCAGGATTCAACGGCTAGCTATTTTGTTAAAAGTTGGGATTATAAAAATAGCATTGAAATGACACTATTTTTCATGGTCAACACAGCACATGAGCCACATGTGAGGATGGATGATCTAGAGTCAATAATTTGATCTTTTGTAATGCATTAAAATCATTGGCTGAAGTTAAGAAACCTCTGCTTATCAAGTATATTCATGGCTTTCATTTCAACCTCTTTCTACCTGCGATTGCTCCAAACTGATGCTCTTATGCAATAGGTAGCAGATTACAGCCACCAGTCTAGGTTGAACGTAAATGTCTTCGAGGGTTAGAAGTAATTGATCCATATGCAACATGAAGCAGGTTGCAGCATACAACTGTTGAGGTGATCTTCATTTTTCTAATTCTTTATACAAATGTAAAGTTTGAAATTACAAAGTTTGAATGCTTGAAATACAAAGTTTTAAAGGTGATAGTCTACGGTTCTTGAATTTTAAGAATAAAGTATGAAATTACAAAGTTTTCAATTTTAAAGTACAAAATTTTAAATGCGCTAGTATAATGTTCTTGAATTTAAAATGTCAAGTTTGAAATTACAAAGTTTTAAGTCTTTGAAATACAAAGTTTTAAATGTGCTAGTATAAAGTTCCTGAATTTTAAAAATAGTTTGAAATTACAAAGTTTTAGATCTTAAAGTATAAAGATATAAATGTGCTAGTATAAAGTTAGTGAATTTAAAATGTAAAGTTTGAAATACAAAGTTTTTAAAGCTTGAATACAAAGTTTTGAATGTGCTAGTATAAAGTTCCTGAATTTTAAAAATAAAATTTGAAATTACAAAGTTTTAAATCTTAAAGTAAAAAGTTTTAAATGTGCTAGTATAAAGTTCCTGAATTTAAAGTGTAAAGTTGGAAATTACGAGTTTTAAAGTTTGAAATACAAAGTTTTAAATGTGCTAGTATGAAGTTTTAAATGTGCTAGTATAAAGTTCCTGAATTTTAAAATAAAGTTTGAAATTACAAAGTTTTAAATCTTAAAGTAGAAAGTTTTAAATATGCTAGTATAGAGTTTCTGAATTTAAAATGTAAAGTTTGAAATTACAAAGTTTTCCTTTTAAGGAAAAATTATGTTCTTGCCCTTGTCCAGTAGACCAATTATGATTTTGTCCCTGTTTTTTCAACTTTGTGTTTTTACCCTTGCTATTTTGAAATGAATGGTCCGTTTGCCCCTGCTTTAGACGTCCGTTAGATGGACATGGATTAAACGAATTAAAAAAATTATAAATCTGAAAAGCAAAGGCGAAATAACCACACTGCCTCTATCCTTATCGCCTCATCCAAAAGCAAGCACACGCCTCATCCCAAGTCTCATACGCTGTCAGATCCGGTCATGGGCTTTCCAATCAAATGGCGTAGAAGAAGAACCAACGGGCGGGTCGCCTCTAGGGCGGCAGCGCGGCCGCCTCCCTAGCCCATGGCGCAGATTCGCATGAGCGCGGGCTTCTCCGGGCAAAGGCAAAGCCGCCATGGGGTTCGGTGGCGTTCGACCAGATGTCCCAAGATCGCGCCACCACAGCACACCGAAGCGTGAGTAAGCGAGCGCACCAACAGAAAGCAAGCGTGGGGGCGTCGACGCCACCGATTCGCTCGGTGCAGCAGTGCTAGCCTCCAAGCAACACCGCTCTTGGCTGCTGCGTCGTCGAGGCGAGGAGGACGAGCGACGGCGATTCAAAGAAGCTCCATGGATTCCTCTGCGTCCGCCAGTCCTAAAGGAAGAAGCAAAGAAGCATGACTGGAAATATAGAAGCAAACTGGCTTCAAAAGACAAACGGAGTCGCCAGTAGCACTGAATCTCGCATCTATGTAGTATGAGACTCGAATACTCGATCTCCTCACTTGTGTGCTCAATAATGTATATACAAGACTCGATCTCCTCTATTTTGTTCGATGAGAATACAAATTGTGTCGATATGCTGCCAATGAGGCTGGGTTAGAACCAACCCGAAAAAAACTGACCCAAAATTTCGGTTAGAACCGAACGCCCAGGCCTAGTCATAATGCTATCAAAATATTGCTAAGGCGCTGCCAAAATTTTGAATATTTTTTGGATGTTAAACCTAAATTGAAATAGTTGTACGTTGGGCCAAATATATTTGATCAAATATAAATGTCTAATTCCCAAATCAGGGGCAAAATCATAAATAGGCTTAACAAACAAACAGGGGCAAAATCATATGAGAATTTCTGTCCTTTTGTATAAAATGTAACACCGTTAGGGGAGGATGACGGAATAGGAGTAAAGCGGTGCTTCGTTTCAAAAACAAAGGGGTAAATTCACAAAGTCAAAAAAACAGGGGCAAAATCACAATTTCGATACAAAGACAATTTCGATACAAAGCAAAGGTAAAAATTCAAGAGACCCAAGTTTTAAAGCTTAAAATACAAAGTTTTAAATGTGATAGTATAAAGTTCCTGAATTTTAAAAACAAAATTTGAAATTATAAATTTTTAAATCTTAAAGTGGACAGTTTTAAATGTGCTAGAATAAAGTTCCTAAATTTAAAATGTGAAGTTTAAAATTACAAAGTTTTAAAACTTGAAATACAAAGTTTTAAATGTGCTAGTATAGAGTTTCTGAATTTAAAATGTAAACTTTGAAATTATAGAGTTTTAAAGCTTGAAATACATAGTTTTAAATGTGCTAGTTCTAGAAATTTAATTTTTTTTTTGAAATTACAAAGTTTTAAATCTTAAAATAGAAATTTTAAATTTGCTAGTATAAAGTTCTTGAATTTAAAATGTAATGTTTGAAATTACAAAATTTTGAAACTTGAAATACAAAGTTTTAAAGGTGCTAGTATAAAGTTCCTGAATTTAAAATGTAAAGTTTGAAATTGCAATGTTTTAAATATTGAAATAAAAAGTTTAAATGTGCTAATATAAAGTTCTTGAATTTTAAAATAAAGTTCGAAATTATAAAGTTTTAAATCTTAAAGTACAAAGTTGAAATGTGCTAGCATAAAGTTCCTGAATTTCTTTATTTTCATTCTCATACCTTAATTATCAATGCTATTATCGTTTACTGGTTGCAGGTCAATTTGAAGTATGAAGACGATACACTAGTTGATTGGAGAAGAAAAGTGATCGGAAAACTGCAGTAAACTTATGGTGTTGAACCTGCAGCCTGTTCGCAATTGGTGCACTTCCTCAAATAGGAGATCCCCACTAGGTGATTTAGAAAAATTAAATCTCTTATCTCTTATCTCTTATACCTAAATAGGAGATCCCCACTAGGTGATTTTCCTAGCTTCTCATTAAGCCACATCATCAGCTTTCATCCATCCGGTGCTCGTCACTACGGCACTAATAACTACAGTATCGCTTTGGCTTCACCTCGAGCGATCCTGCCGCATGCCTCCTGTCTCCTGCGCTCTCCACTAACCACTCTGTTCGTTTAGGCTTGTTTGACTGATAAGCCATGGCTGAAAGTAGTGTTGATTGATTTGATGTAAAAAAAAATCATGCTTGTTAACTAAAAAAGCATGGCTTATAAATCAAATAAATCCAAACGAACAGGGTGCATCATCACGCATGCATCGAAACGTCCCCGCTAGCCACCACGCATGCATCCAGATGGCGAAACGTCTACGGCCTACCCCAGTACAATCTTCCCCTATAAAATGAATCAGATCGAGGGCTTTGTGACCGTTACTCCGTTAGCCGCCATATATGCTGGTCATTGATGTTGCCGCACAGCTGCGTGTATCTGCAGACTGCAGCCGATCGACGACTGGGTGACCGTGAGCCGCTTGGTGCGCTTCTCCAAGCGCCGCTCGGGGATCTTGAAGGTCTTCAAGCTGACTGTCCTCTGCGATGCGCCAAGATTGCGCTCCTCTTCCTCCCCCGTCGAATCCTCATCTATGCAATTATTGTACTTATTTGATGAAAGACAAAGAAAGAGATCAGGTTATTTATGATCGGAGAAAAGGATGGGTTAAGTTATTCATCAGCTTCCCCTTCCTTTTCTCCGATCAATGGTGGTGCTGAATCTATTTCACTTTTCCAGCAGGAATTCAAGTTCCTCTGTTAACGCGCCCCACTTATATAAGTTCTTGCTGATGAAAGTTCGCCAAGATTGCGCTCCTCTTCCTCCCCCGTCGGCCTGGAGGCACAAACAGAGTGGTTCAGCGACGGTGCAGCGCCTTGCTGTGCGCGCAACATCATTTTTTGCAGGGTGAGATCAAGCTCCAAGCGTACCTACTACATGGCCACATCGTTGTGCTTGGCTGGGGCGATGAGAGCAGCGGTGGTGGTGGCGCTCTGCACGACATCATGGTCCTGCCCAGGCTCCATCGATGGTGGGGACGATGATCGAGGACGCCGGTCACCAACATCACCAACGCAGAGTAGTTCTATTTCAGGTCCACACCGCCGCCGCCTCCACGCATCCGGCGGCTACCGTGGTGCAACCCACCGCCTGCAGCCATGTCCGCACAGGGACGAGGTCATCAAGGGATGGCGAAGGACTGAGCTTGCTGTACTTAGCGCGGGGTGTGCGAAGGGCAGGGAAAGGGATGGGAAGCTATGGTGCAACCCGCCGCCTGCAGCCATGTCCGCACAGGGACGAGGTCATCAAGGGATGGCGAAGGACTGAGCTTGCTGTACTTAGCGCGGGGTGTGCGAAGGGCAGGGAAAGGGATGGGAAGCTTTTGGAAGGGAAGGGGACATGCGCCATGCGCTCACGCAGTTGTGGACGGGAACCTCGGTATTGTCGGTGGCACGGACCGTATTCGAAACCGAATCTGTTTAGAGGGGTTGAGATCTGTCCGTATCCGAGTCCGGATATCTCAGCCTGGGCATTTTTTTACCGGAAACCGAAAACCGAACCGAACCGAACCGAAACCGAACCGAATAGTCGGTAGTTCGGTTTTTCGGTTCGGTTTCGGTTTTCAGTTCTGTGAAGTTCGGTGTTCGGCTTCGGTTTCGGTTTCTACGACATACCGAACCGGCACCAAAAACCGAACTAAAAGTGTGTCAGTAACTCTGTTTTTTTCCGTGTACCAAGAAACCGAACTAAATACCGAAAAACCAAACTTAAAATGTGTTGTAACCTGTTTTTTTTCCTGTTGTACCGAGAAACCGAACTAAAAACCGAAGTTTGTACTGTCAATTGTAAATCTTATCGATATTTTTTTAGCATCGGTTTATTCGGTTTTAACCGAAAAACCGAACTAAAAAACCGAACCGAAATTGGTCGGTTTTTGAAATTTTAGCAAACCGATCGGGGGTCATTTTCTGGAAACCGAATTTTTGAAAAACCGAACAAACCGAACCGAACCGTCGGTAAAAACCGAACGCCCAGGCTGACGGATATCTAATATCCGATACCGTATCCGTATCCGAATACTCAAATCGCATATTTATGATGTCGATATCCAATTGTATTCTATCCGACATAGTTGATACTATCCGTATTCGAATCCGAATCTGGATAGAAATATAAAAATAAATGTAATATCGGTGATATCCGTCCGTACCCGATCCGTTTCCATCCCACAGTGGGTGGGGAAGGATTGAACGAGTGGAGGAGAGCACACTGCTGCACGCCCATCAGTTTTTCCCTTTTTTTTAAGTAGAATTTTATTCCGTCATTGGTACCGAGGTGCAATTATTTTCTCCACGCTAGCACATGCACAGGTTCCAATTACTGAATGCTACTACTCAGATGCTATGTATCCATTCATACAGGCCACGTCGAAGATAGCTCGGAGCTCAGGCTGTGTTTAGCAGTAGAAATTTGGATTTTGGGGTTATTATAATATGTTCGTTTATATTTGATAAATAGTGTTTAAATATGGATTAATTAGGCTTAAAACGTTCGTCTCGTAATTTCCCACCAAACTGTACAACTAGTTTTTCTTTTCGTCTACATTTAATGTTTCATGCACAGGCCATAAACATTCGATGTGACAAGTACTGTAGCAAATTTTTAGTAGTTGAGATGGATCTAAACAAGGGCTCAATAGTTCAGGGTTAAATACGGCTTTGGTCTTTGGTTTTGGCCTTTGGTGTTCACTGAGCAACTTTTCATGGAGCAACTTTTCCTTTTATTTAGGTACAGATGAGAGTGTCATGTCCTACTACAGAGATTTCATTCCTCTCGTGTCCTACTACAGAGATTTCATTCCTCTCGAATTCATCAGGTTATTATATTCTAAAAGAGTTAAATGCACCAGCGGTTCTCGAACTTGTAGACGTATATCACATAGGTTCATAAACTTAAAAAATGTATTTCTGAGTCACTAAACTTGTTAAGTGGTGCACCGCAGGCCTATATCAGCCACTTGCACATTTTTTTTCTGACGTGGCAGCCGGCGTGCATGTGGCTTCCTTCGGCGGCTGCTTGCTGTTTGCTGTTTGCTGTTGCTCCTGCTTGCTGCTCGCCGCATGCTCCTGCTGCTTGCTCCGCCGCATGCTCCTGCTTGCTGCACCTGCACGCACGTGCACGCAACTCGCCGCACAGCGCCGGCGATGACTCCCTAGACGTGCTGCCATTGTTGCTGCTGATACCCAGGCCGTGCATCTTCTCCATGGACAGCTCGTAACCTTTGACGAACACGTCGTCGACCTGCTCGCCGTTCTCCTCCGGCTCTGGTGCCAGCAGCTTGTTGCTCCTCCTGCCGGTCTCGGCGTCGTCGTCCCAGTTGTGCCGGTTCCTTGCAGCCTCTGCCGCTGACTCTGCCATCCGCTACACTGTTGGTGTTGGGTAAGGCAAAGACACGAGGCACCATGCTGCCGTCCCTGATGGGCAGGTGCTCTCTGGAGGTGGCGTCGAGTCCAAAAATGCTGGTTGTGGTGGAAAAGGGCAAGAACTTGTTGGCCTCCTCCATTCCCTCGAGGAACGCCTGGTTGAGCATGTCCATGGTAACCCGCACCCCGTCTCCGAAGCTCGAGCTCTGGATGGTGGCCGTGTCGCCGGCATTGAAGAACACGCGGGCGTCTCCCAACTGCTACGCGATGGCCAAGCCAGCTAGCGGTCGAGAGCGAGGCCGGCCGGCGTCCGAGGCGAACGAGTCAGCTGCGTGCACCCCACTTTGGAACTTATATCTCCAACCAGGCCGAATTAGACTTTGGCACTTTAAGCAAAGTTGGAGATCTCGCGTAGCTCTACAACATTTGTTACTACCGCTTGTGCTAAAACTAAATGGATTCAGAGTTAAGAGGGGACAAAGATTGATGTTTCTGTGTATTTTTGCGGTAGTATTGGTTACTTCCTCTCCCTCGCGCACCCTCGTCCGAGCAGGCGCTCGCGCTGTTCCGGCGCGGCGTCCCTCGCCCGAACGCCTTCACGGCGAGCTCCGTGGTCAGGCCGAGGCCGGCTGTGGCCAAGCGCAGGCCATGCATGGGCTCGAGGTTGCCGTGGTCGTCGAGCCGGAGAGCAGCCACGGCAGCCGGAGAGCAGCCACGGGAGTCTCGAACGGCGGCGTGGTCCTCGATGGAGATGCCGTTGATAGGTCACCGACGAACAGCACGGCGTTGCCCGGGTGGGACTCGTAGTGCCGGCGCAGCGGCAGCCCAGTCCGGCAGCCCACGTCGGCGTCTTGGCTCCTGGCTCCTGGCTCACGAGGCCGATCTGGAGCCACTCCACGTTGAGCGTGCCAATGTCACTGCGGTGGTGGAGAGAGGGCGGCACGAAGTAGTCGTCCGTCCTCATCACCAGCCACGGCGCGCGGCGGAGGAACTGCCGCTCGTCGTCGCAGAAGAAGAGCTTGTCGTGGTACGTGCAGGAATGGTCGAGGTCCTGTACGCCTCGGTGCCCCTGTGCCGCCTCCCTGCACGCACGTGCACGCAACTCGCCGCACAGCGCCGGCGATGACTCCCTAGAGGGTATGCTCGGCGAGTACTGCGGCGGCAAGGGACACGCCGTCCCGGACCCTTAGCTCCTCGGCCACGCGGGCTCCAGCAGCGGTGCCAGCGCCCGGACCTCGCCGAGGGAGTGCGCGTAGAAGAGCGCGTCCACCTTCTGCGGGTGCATGGCCGCCCACCGCGTGACGTAGCCGGAGGTGAGCGCGCGCCACCACTGCTCGTCCCGCACCTGCACGATGTCCTTGAAGATGACGGTGGTCTCGGAGACGTAGGCGAGGCGGTGCTCGCTGTCGCCCCACGTCTCCTTGTCGTTGGGGTCGACGGGGAGCACGAAGGAGCCCGCGCCCATGTACTTCTGCAGCTGGTAGCTCAGGTGGAGGTCCTCGCCGGTCATGAAGGTGAAGGGCGTCTCGATGAAGAGCGTCTTGACGAGGTCGGTGGGCAGGAACCAGGAGCTGGACAGGAAGTCCACCTGCACGATGCGGTCGACGGTGATGTCATAGGCCGGGTCCGGCAGGTACAGCCCGGCCTCCTTGGAGCGGAACTTGCGGTAGCTTGGGAAGGTGAAGTCCTTCTGCCGTAGACGAAGTCGGACTCGGACTGCAGCGCCATCTGGAAGCGGCCGTAGTACTTGAAGTCGTAGCCGGAGGCGACGAAGCTGACGCGCGAGTCGTTGTAGCTCTCGACGATGCGGCGGAGCGACGCCTCGTTTGGGCTGTCGAAGGACAGCACCCAGGCGCGGTGGAACGGCAGCGTCTGCCGCCGCAGCTGCTCCAGCTGCGCGCACAGCGTGCGGCGCTTGAAGTGGTTGAGGATGACGGTGACGCGCGGCACGTTGGGGCCCGACACGCTCCACCGGGACCTCATCCGGAGCAGCTCCGGCAGCTTCTCGGTGCCGAAGCTCCGCCGCTGGAACGCCAGCACCTCGTCGTAGAGCTTGCGCTTGAGGCGGATCATGACCACGTCCGTCGACTTCTTCTGCTCGAAGTCGATGCTCTCGTGCTCGCACACCTCCTCCGGGGATAGCGCGCCGCCGCCGGGCTGCGTGGTGATGATCTGCTTCCAGTGCTGCGCGATGCGGGTGGCCCACGCCAGGTCCGGCTTCACGTTCACGCGGAGGTCCACGGCGGGGCTCTTGTAGTAGAGCAGGAAGGTGGCATAGATGGCGAAGGCGAACTGGAGGCACGTCAGCGACGCCACGAGGCGGGACGTGTTCCTGGCCCCGCCGCGCGCGGGCTTGCCACCACCGCCCTTGCCGCCGCAGTACTCGCCGAGCATACCCTCTAGGGAGTCATCGCCGGCGCTGTGCGGCGAGTTGCGTGCACGTGCGTGCAGGTGCAGCAAGCATGCGGCGAGCAGCAAGCAGGAGCATGCGCCGGAGCAAGCAGCAGGAGCATGCGGCGAGCAGCAAGCAGCAAGCAGCAAGCAGGAGCAACAGCAAACAGCAAACAACAAGCAGCCGCCGGAGGAAGCCACATGCACGCCGGCTGCCACGTCAGCAAAAAATGTGCACGTGGCTGGTATGGGCCTACGGTGCACCACTTAATTAGTGACCTAGAAATGCATTTTCCAAATTTATGGACCTATGTGACACACGCCTACAAGTTCGAGGGCCGCTGGTGCATTTAACTCTATTCTAAATGACTACGACGATGTCGGTTCTATTTTTGAATTTACAATTTTCATTTGTCCGAGCCTCCTAAAAACCACCATTTTTAGTTTCAATAAGTTGTCTACAAGGTTTGATTCCATATATGATTTTGTACCTTCCATATATCTTTTTAACCTTTACATATAACAAAATACAACATGTTCCATTCGAATTTTTAATTACACATACAACACTACAAATTTCCGCAGCAACGCGCGGGGTGTCATCTAGTTGTCTTATAATTTGGAACATAGAGAATACATATGAAACCAATACAGAGAGTACATATAAAAACTATATATGAAAAATCAAAAGCTGACCAGGAGCGAGAGCTTCGACAACTCCTTTGCTAGTCAGTAAAACTAGCCGTTCTTCATCACGTAAGCACAATTGGTTATCCTTTGGTGGTTTGCTGGTAAACTTTCACCACGTAAGTGTGATCCTCACTGACCTAGTGCTTTCTCGGGCTTCACCCGAGAAAATTGGCTAGGTCGACTCCTTGAACCGGCTAGGCCGGTTTCTGCAGAGTCGCGCCGCCTCGGTCCATTTGCAACCCGTGCAGTCTAGCACTTGTGGTGTGTGACCAATCTTTGGGTCAACAATATTACTTCTTATATCCCGAAAAGAATATCATCTAGGTTTAAATTAAGTTGAACTTTTTAAGTTTAATTATGGTTATAGAAAATAGTGTCAATGTTTGTATCTCCAAAAAGGTCTAGTATGATAACAAATTTATTATTTATCTAATGATACTTATTATATGTCATTATTCAAAATTAAGATGAATTGACTCCTCATAAACTGGGAATAATATTTTTTTGACAAAGAGAGTTAGGGCTTGTTTGGATCAAGACCTGGCGAATACGCCCAGCCCAGGCAACTTCTCTAGGCTGTCGATTTCCGACGCCTGGAGATAGATTAACATGCCTGGGTAGTAGCTCCCAGGTACATCTGAGCATTTTGAGCCCGCCCGGCCTACGGGCCCAATCCGAGCCCACTGGGTTTTGGGACTAACATGATTGTGGGGAACATGCTTAAATCTAAAGTTTATGATAGAGTTGAGACAATGAGATGGATGAATGGGATCTATCTTTTAAGTTTTATGGATAAGCGAGATAGATTTCTAAAAGAATCTTTGTAGATTTCTTGACAAGTTTCCATCACCTAACACTATTTAATTATTTTGCAAAGAAAACCCTTGCCCACTTGAGAAAAAACTTTAAGAAGAACAATAGCAATCAATTTCTTGTTCTAGTTTCATCTATTGTTTTGATGAATTTGAGTAAAGCTTCAAATCTATCATTTCATTTATAATTTCCAGCAATAAAATTTAAATTATTTTAATTATAATTTACAACAAACAATTTAAAATTTAGATGCAATAACACAAGAGGATAATTTATTTATTTATGAGAGCATAAGAAATATATATACATATCGATCATGATTTTAAGCCAAATTCTCTCTCTAGCCAAACAATACAGTAGTATGGTTGAGATTCTTAATTATTTTTATCTAGAATTTGATTTTTAGCGATTCCAAACACGCCCCAAACCATTCACCTATGCACAAAAAACTAATTTCTTTAAAAAAGGTGTATTTTCACAAAACATATCTAAATAATTCTATCATGAACAAGCATACCAAACTAAGGTTATATTGGCATGAAAAAAGTTAAAGTAAACAATTAGCCTCTTGAATCTTTGCTATGTAGGGAGAGAGAAGGCAATAAACATATGTTTTGGAATGAACACCAAGTGAGTCTTAAAGTCTCGACGCATACCTTCAGGACTCACACAGAGCTTATGTAGTCAAAGTGATATAAGGGCAACTCCAAAAGAGTGTTCGTACCTAGCATGATACCCGGTTTGGAGAATTGGGGAAGAAATTACTGTCCAACAACTTATCTATCTAGAATTCCAAAACACCGAGTTGTGTATCCTCCAGTTCTTGGTCGCTTGGGAATTTAGCAGAAAGGATAAGAGGATTGTGAATTTTAATCTAATTTTATTTTCAGATAAAAATTTCATATTAATTTACTAAAGTTACTTTTTCTCCAAAGCACTAAAGGTACTTATCCTTTTTCCAACTATTCTAGTTTGGGTTAGGTTTACGAAAGCCATTGTGAAAGCTCTAGTTTGGTTTTGGTGAATTGATGAAACCCTAAGTGCTAACCTAGTTTATCAAGTGATCATGAGATAGGTAGCACATTCCAAGTGATGAAGCAAATAAAGACCATGACATGATGATGGTGATGCCATGGTGATGATCAAGTGCTTGGACTTGAAAAGAAGAAAGAGAAAAACAAAAGGCTCAAGACAAAGGTATAAATGGTAGGAGTCATTTTGATTTGGTGATCGAGACACTTAGTGAGTGTGATCACATTTAGGATCGATAGCCACACTATTAAGAGGGGTGAAACTCGTATCGAAATGCGGTTATCAAAGTGTCACTAGATGCTTTAACTCATTGCATATGCATTTAGGATCTAGTGGAGTGCTAACACCCTTGAAAATGTTTGTGAAAATATGCTAAAACATGTGCACAGGGTGATACACTTGGTGGTTGGCACATTTGAGCAAGGGTTAGGAACTTCACCGGTGGAGTGTCCGCCCGTAGAGTGCGGACAGTCCACCGGTGCCACCGACGCTCTATACAAAAAAGACGGAGGTCACTGTAAGGGATCGGATATTGGTCTTGGTAGGACCCACGCGTCCGATCAGTGGATGCGTGAAGACGCTGGCGTCGGTCCACGACCGGACGCTGGGTCACTTGGTGACCGGACGCTGAAGGGTACGTCCGGTCCTGCTGACGTGGCAGCGCACAGAGGAGACGCCGAGTGACCGGACGCTAGGTGAGTCCGATCGAGCATGACCAGACGCGTCCGGTCATGATTTCTCATTTCTGGATGCTTACTGGAAACGATCGGACGCTGAGGTTCAGCGTTTGGTCATCACTTGACCATTGGGTTCGGGCGCTCAGTATTTAAAGAGAGGGGACACGTGGCGTGCATCACACGACTGGACGCTGGGGTCCTGCGTCCGGTCGATATGACCGGAGCATCCTGTCACCCCGTGTTGTGCCCAGTGAAGGGGTACAACGGCTCTATTTCGTGGGGGCTTCTATTTAAGCCCCATGGCCGGCTCAAGCTCACTCTCTTGGCCATTTGCATTGACATAGCAACCTTGTGAGCTTAGCCAAAGCTCTCCCACTCATCTTCATCATTGATTCATCATCTTTGTGAGATTGGGAGAGAATCCAAGTGCATTGCTTGAGTGTTTGCATCTAGAGGCACTTGGTGTTCATGTTTCGCTGCGGGATTCGCTTGTTACTCTTGGTGGTTGCCACCACCTAGACGGCTTGGAGCAACGAGGATCGTCGAGCGGAGGTTGGTGATTGTCTCTAGCTCCGATCGTGGTGATTGTGAGGGGTTCTTGACCTTTCCCCGGCGGAGAGCCAAAAGGTACTCTAGTGGATTGCTCGTGGCTTGTGTGATCCTCATCTTGTGTTGGTTGTGCGGCATCCTATTGAGGGTTTGGCGTGTGATGCCAATTAGCGCGTGAACCTCCAAGTGAGTGAATCACCACAACGAGGACTAGCTTCTCGGCAAGCAAGTGAACCTCAGAAAAAAAATCATTGTGTCATCATTTGATTCCGAGGTGATTGGTCTTCATTGTTATTCATTCTTGTGATTGATTGGCTTCTTCCTCGACACATCGGTATAACCTTCTTGCTCACTCTCATTACATTACCGCAAACTAGTTGTCAAGCTCTTTAGTGTAGCCAGTTGTGAGAGCTTGTTAGTTTGGTTAGTATGGCTCTTTAGTTAGCTTTTGAGAGCACACTAACTTAATGTAGTGTCATAGCTATTGTGTGGATAGAAACTATATAAACTAGAATTGTGCTAGGTGGCTTGCTATTTTAGTAGGCTAGCGCAACACTTGCTTCGCCTCATAATTGTCTAACCGGTTTGTTAAGTGTTGTTGTAGAAATTTTTAATAGGCTATTCACCCGCCCCCTCTAGCCATTAGGACCTTTCACATTGTCAATTTGATTAGGGTTCTAGTGCAATATATGGCAGATTAGGTTTGGGTTACCGTGAATCCAATGGTAGATAGGTTTATGGTTTGCCAAAGTTAATGGTGCACATTCACGGTGGTAAAGACAAATAAAGATCACAAGAGCACATCTTAGGATCATGAGTTCCTGACAACCATATGAGTACCAATGAACATGTTATCACTTAATCACTAACAACAAAAGAAACGTTATGGTCTAAGGCCTACATTTGCTGCACATGCTCCATTAGGCCTAAGAGCACATCTTCATAATAAGACACACCTCCGGACCGATGAACAGCAAGCATCCGGACCAAAGAGCAGTGGAGTCCGGACGACTCCAGTAAGGGTCCAGAGAGCCAAAATGGCTTCGGACTCCGTCCGCCAGGCCGTCCGGACCAAGGTTCACGGTCCGGGGCTCCCTTAGCTCCTCGTCGCACTAACATGATTGTCGGGAACATGCTTAAATCTAAAGTTTATGATAGAGTTGAGACAATGAGATGGATGAATGGGATCTATCTTGTAAGTTTTATGGATAAGCGAGATAGATTTGTATAAGAATCTTTGTA